GCACCAACATGAAGGCACCCCACCACCAAACCACACCACCCAAGGGCACGCCCGCGAACTGCGCCAGAGCCGACACGCAAGAGCCTCACAGCAGCACCCCGCTGCCGAGAAGCTAGCACCCCGATACGCCTGGCCCCTCGTGGGCTTGCAGAGTGCGAACAAAATGAAGAAAAAACCACAGACGAAAGCGCCAACACCTCCAGAGCAACAAACTAACGAATGAGCAGGAGCCCACTGCTGAAGAAAAAAAACCACACACGGCCGGCTAAACAAACTGACTGACACATCCACGGGGGTACCCCCTGCGCCGTTGCCGTTATATATTTTAGGCGCCGGGCACCACACACGCACCCACACCAAACACCCACCCCAGGGGGGAACTGACTGCAAGGCTGGACGCGGTGACCCCTACGACCGAGGCGACGAGGGTGCGCTGTCATGGTGTGGGAGTGTCGGCGCCCCGTGCTTGTTGCCGATTTTTGTGGTCGGTCTCCCTCGGTCGGTCTGTTAGTGGCAGGCTTGGGGATTATGAGCAAAGCCCAACGAAGTTGGGGGGTTGGCTATGTTCCCGCCCCACAGAGGAGAAACCATCCCAGCGACGGGCCCACAGGATCGAGATGAGTGACGCAGGGCCCTGCCCGATGGTTGGCCGCCGACCTCTGGGGGCCAACTACCTCCGGCGCCGTCTATCTCTTTCGCAAGTTCCGCACGCAGATAAAGCGCGCCAACAACCAGGAAAATCCCGGAGAGAGTGCCCCCGTGTGGGTTCTTTGTGGTAATTTTGGAAGCCTCAGAGAACTGCTACCGGCCGAACGGAATCCACAGGGCAGACGAAGAGCCCGAAAAGGCCGACAAAAGTGACGGCGGGCCAAATTCCTGAACGATTTCGGAAACGAATAGGAAACGGCTGAGAGGCTTAGGAACCTCGAGGGGGTTCCTTCTAAGTTTGGGAAAAGAGGGCGCGTTTAGCTGTGTTTATTTTTGATTTATTTTCGCTGGTGGAGTTTATATATTTTCTTGTAGTTTGAAAGCTTTCAAATGTCAGTGGAGACTGTAAAGCATAAGGGCATCTCATGGGCAGGCGTTGCCTTCTGTTTTGATCTGTTTGCTTATCTCCTCCAGGTCAAAACAGTCCAGCACCAGCGAGCCGAAATTAGTCGTGGCTGCGCTGAGTTTTTGAGCGGGCAACTTTCTGAAGCAGAGAGAGACGATCTTCACCTCGAGGAACAGTTGGGGACTCTTATGCGGGATTTTCGTACTCCCAGCGAAAGCATGAGGGCGCTGAAGCGTGTGGAGCTGAATTACACAGAGCCGCTTACGCTGCGACGCGAGAAAGAGGGGACAACACGAGCACGCGCCGCAGTTTTGGGATTAGCAAAAGGCGTGGGGGCTCCGTCGTGGTCTCGTTGGATGACCTTCCCGAGTATGCTGGTGAGGATGATGATCGCTATGGCGTTTGGCTTGGGTTATTTGATTAAGCGGCTACTTGGGGACCAGTTGAGGCTAAAGGAGGACACCGCAAAGAGCGCCATCTCAGTGAAGCAGCGGAAGGGAGGCGTTATGGCGTATTTATTTATTTGTGTGCTGAATAATTATCAACGTTCTGCAGTGGTGGCTGAAGTTGAGTCATGATTTTTTTAATATTTGAAGTCTGGCATTTGTGGCCGGTCTGTAGTGCAGGCACTTGCGTGCGTTTCTATAGGGTCTACCCTTCATCAATTGAGTGCGCGCGCATTTGTAAGCATCTCGAATCCTCCTCCCAATCGCCATCAGATGAAAATTTTATGCTGTGCTGCAGCGAATATTTTGTGGCGCAAGTTGCGAGGCTTGTGCGCCGCTATTTGGTGGTGGAGTTAAAAGATGCCGCGCGGCTGCGTAGTCGGGTAGGTACTGGCTGACTTTGCGAGCGATATAGCGGAGGTGCTTGCCCATTTGGAGGATTGGGCCACGCTATGCCTACGGCTGTCCATCGTAGTCTGTTGTCCGCTTTCAGGGGAGCAGCTAGGAGTGGCGCTGAGTTTTGATATTTTTACTTCATGATCATACTTTTTGGGAAGGATTTGCTTTGTAGTGCATTTTTGTTGATCTGCGTCGTTGGTCTTGGTATCTTCGTTTTCTTCTCTCCCAGGTGCTCACGATGGCAGCAGCTAGTATCCTCGCCGTTCGATCGTTGGATGCTCATTTTTCCTGGAGGTATGGACCATTTTCCGATCTCCATGAGGATTGGATGGAGAAGCATTATCGTGGTGAGGAGGATTGGCTATCTTTGCGGGGCATGGATCTGAGTTCCGTCCGCGCGTCTGATGCTGGGGCTTTGGCACTTCGCTCATTGCGGCATTGGTTGCTTGTGAATGGGAGGGGCGACCTTGATCGCATGCAGCTGCTGAGGCGGATCGATAATGGACCTGATGAACGCCAACAAACGCCGCAGCAAGGGGGTGGAGACAAAGGCGCAGCGTCTTAAACGGTCAGCAAAAAAAGCAGGGAGTTGGCGTTCGATCAGCAGCGTCTTCGCGGATAGTTGTCGTTCTGATTTTATTAGTAGGGTGTCGCAAATCAGAGGAGAGCAGTACTGCCGGGACAAATCGTCCTCTTCTCACAAGAAGCAGCGCTACAGTTATAAGCGCTCCCGCGGCTTGTGGAGATCGAGGAAAATGAAGGAGAATCGAGATGGGATAGAAGGTGGTGGGCGGAGTAAGTTAGTGACAAAAGGTGAGCCCAGGATGAATGATCAGGACCGTCGAGACGCGGCGAGGATGTGTCTTCTCCGGATTTTGGATGAGGAGGGGGAGCGCGTAGGTCCTGCGGATGGCGTGCTGTCAGACGATTCTGATGGTGATCATTTTTTAGAAGATGTCCCTGCTCCTCGGGACCCACTTGCTGTTCGCCAGGAGGAGAAATTTTACGAATAGGCGGTCGTGGCAGAGCGATCCGCGCTCAGGACGACTCTTCCGCGCGGAGTCGCTTACTCGTTGTAGGAGGTGGCTGCAGACTCCGAAGTATCCAGCTGGGACTCTCCATGTGAAGCCGAGGAAGATCCACCAACTAGAACGCGACGTGGTAGCGTGTTGCAAAGCGTTGAAGAGGAAGCGCGACGCTGCAGATGAGGACGAGCTACTTCCCGTTTTAGAAGACATTGAACTCAAAGCACCTGCTGCGGATGAGTTCGAGAATGGCGACACTGTAGGGCAAGAGCTCGCTTCTGTGGCAGCAGTTTTCATCTTGCAACTAGTACCCAAAAACGCTGAAGGACCAGGCCGGCTCCTGGTAGATGAAGAAGAAGATCAAACAGCAGAGAGGCTAGTAGTGAGAATTGATCAACAGAGGACGGATTTTAGTGCGCTAAATTTGACGAGGCAACATGTGGCAGGAGGTGCGGCAGTGTACTACATCGCGGATGGCTTTGCTCGTAGTCCGATCATGTTGGAGGACGACAAATGCAGGGGCTGCACTTGGCGGATTTTTCGTGCTTTGCCGCAGGGGCGTGTGGTTCTTGAGGGAAAGGTGGCTTTGCAAATAGCTGAGGGTCGTCGTGTTCACGTCATGCAAGGAGCAGAAGAGCAAAAGCAAGCATCGCCACGTCTTGCCGAACCGAAGAACTTCGACTACTTAGACAAGATTCTTGCGCAGCAGCAGAGGAAGACGCTGAAGCGGCAAGAAATAGGTCGAATCATGAACGAAAAGGAGGGACGGGCAAAAGCTCTGAAGAAGAAGATGGAGCAGGGCGAGAAAGTAGCAGCAGCAGCAGACAAAGACGATAGTAGTCCTGTGCCTGCTAAGCCGGCGCCTCTCTTTAAACCTGAAGAAGATCCTCGAAAAGTGGCCCCATCGAAGAAGGGGACACTAGCGGCCAAGCAGGTGCCGCCATGCATCGAGCAAGATCGTGCGAGGCTAAAAATGCATGTTAGTGCTTGCATGGAAGCGCTGCAGATCGATGGCTTTTCGATTGCCGATGGGTCTGCTCTAGTGTAACAGCGTGGAAGTTGTGGGGCAGATTGGCGGACAATCTGCAGGCGAGGGCGGTGGGAAAGCGGCAGGAGCGATTCTTGCGAGTGATCAACGCGACGAAAATCGATTTGATCAGCAATGCGAAGAAGTCAGCCGGTAGAGAATTTATGTATCCTGAGGACGCGGAGTGCATCGTCGGCCACCTGGCCGCTCTCTGGTGTGTGCGGACCAGATTTATTCTGGATAGAGTTGGGAAGTAGTGCAAGAACAATGACTACCGTTGTCGGGACAGGGATCGCCTTCAGGTGGAATTCGAAGACTACATCTCGGAGATAGTACTTCGGGGAGCAGACCACTGGAAACGATTAAAAGGCGAAAACCTGAAGACATTTCGCAAGTGTCGGCAGCTCTGTGGCGTAGCTATGGAATTCGGCGAAGTGGGGCATCGAGATGAGCCGTCTGATGATGTGCCGGGGTGTGGGGAATTCTTTGAGGACTTTGAGTTCTATAGTATTTATCTCTGCTCGTCGTCTCGATGGGATTTAGCAGCATTAGCATGCAAATGCATAGGATACGCTTTGCGTAGTATATTGCACAGACTTCACAGCACTGCCATGCGTTTATAAAGTATTATGTATAACGTGAAGCAGTTGACTTCTCAGCCCTGGTTTTGTAGTAGCTTACATCGTGCAGATGATGGATACTATTTGCGTTTTCTTAGGTGGGAAATGTAGACCCCTGCAGATGTCATAGCGCTGAACTTTCATCCCGTGGGGATTGTGTTTAGACTAAGCGCCTTCTGTTGCTATTTATGTGAATGGTATGAGTATAAGCATTAGTATGCCATCAAAGCGCGTCCAAAGTGGGCGCATTTAGGTTAGTAGCGTCTTCTCGTGGTGCATATCGTAGGTGTATTCACCTAGTAGGGTTTCCGCCAACTTTTAATCGCGTCATCTGCAGCAACGACCTCACAACTTTCAACATTTTCAAGCATTTGCTTCCGTGCAAGTTTCTGGAGACTGTTTCTCAACTTATTATCAAAATACTAGAAGCGCGAAACTCATGCTCTTCATCTTCTGAATCTGCGTAAATATCTCTGATGTCTAGACTTGCAACTGTTCAAACCAAGCAGAAAGCTACTTGCAAATTTGCAAGTTGTACCAATTTCGCGCAACTTTCATAAATAGGACATGGGTTTCTATCTCGTTGCGTGCCTGTTGCTGACCTGTATGCCTCTAATCACTTTCAGACTCTTTGCACGAAGATCGCCTCTGGAGATTTGACCTCAGTGCTGCTAGCACAATCTTCAGAAATCAAACATAACGTCTTTCATGCAAGTGGCCCACTTGTCAAAGATGCAACTCATTTCCCCTGTGCTCGACCAAACCAATCGCAAGACCAATGCCATGAAGAACAGTCCTGGACACCTATCCAAATTCAACAACTTAGACTAGACTGCAGCCGATAAGCTATGTGAGGAAAGTAGAACGCAGCGAGTTCTTATTACAAGGCCACAGCGCCCAGGGGCGGGGGGGAATATCACATGGGGACAAACAGGAGCAGGAGACAGCGCATGCCATGGAAGAAGCAAAAGCGAGCGGGGCTCTGTGTTCGTGGTGCTGGAGTCTGTTGCGATGTCAGACGTTGCGGCTTCCGGTCGGTGGTACTCTTGTGATGATCATTCAGAGATCATGAGTTATGGCGTGTGGCCTTCATGCACTGGAATCAGGTAAAGGAGGGCGGCAATCATCTAAAAAGGAGCACGCTGCGGATGGTGCTCGTGTCTGGATCGTTAGGGTTATGGAAAGATCACGGGCACGCGATCCAATTTGTGTTATCTATGACTGAAGACAGATAGTCTCAGGACGTTCCTCCTGATCAATCCTCGCGAAGAGATCCACCGATCCAGTGCAGGCTGTAAGGTCAGTAGCTCCCTAGTATTACTGTCTAGAGTTCGTTCTTTCTCTCCTTCATTGAGTGCGATAGTTTTGTAATATTATTCATTTGGTTTTTGAGCTTGTGCATCTCGCTCATTATCTCAATGCTAAAAGTACTACACTCATCTACAAAAAAACCCACCGCCTGCTTAGTCCATCACGATAGGAAAATCAAACACGATTCCACTCGAGAGAAGAAGTTGCAAGCCAGAAAAGTTGAGGGCTGTTGCAGTTCTGACAGAACACGCCGACAGCATGCCAGGTGCTAGCAACGCCCCCGGAGGTCCGAACAAGAAGAAGCTGAAGGCTCGCGACCGCATCCATGAAGCCAGGGAAATTATGAAGCGTTGCGGATTGCGCGCGCTACTTTTCTATCTTGCTTAATTCATCTCGTGGCCATAGGTATATCATGCGTTGGGTGCAAATGTCGGGAGTCTAGGTCCGTTGGAATTGTGTAGGGTCATTTGAGTTAGAAGCGTGGCAGAATGATTATCCGGACTCTTCTCATCAATTTCCCTCATCTGCTCGCATCTTCAACCACCACAGGAGGAGCCGCGTATCGAGCTGTCTGTGAAGAACACCCTTCGCGATAATAATCGCAACACCCGCAAGACCATCTCCAAGATCTTGCAGCCTGGTCCCGTGCAGTACCTGACGCCTGACGAGATTTGCATCCAAAAGGCCCGCGCCACCTGCAGCACTTTGTCCCGTAACATTGCGGACCTTCCCACCGGTGCCATTTTTGCGCAGAGCTTGGACGAAAGCGGTGGCTTGGATGGTTTCACCGGGCCAGAAGTGGGCCTCGTCTGCGTATAAATATCCTCACTTTTAGCAATTCGACGCCCCCCACCTGAAGGAGAGAAACGTATGAGGAGGATGATGAAGCAAAATTTTCTAGATTCCATTCAAAGTCATTCGTTCTTTCTTGTCCACCACTAGCACACGCTAGGAGGCATTTACTCAGACCGTTGCCCATTTTGATTCCATTCCATGAAATGTTCTTCAGACTTTTCTTGTGTATTCCTATCGAATTCTCTACCTCCTTCTACAGACCAGCGGCGAGCTGAAGGCAGAAGGCCAGACGACGCGTGCCGGAGGTGCCAACATATTGAAGGGCCTCAGCAGAGCCAACGTCAAGACTACGGATGCTAACAGGAAGGCCCGCATCGAGGAGGTGGCCCTGAAAGCGTTGGGGCGCGGAGTGGTGAAAGCACGCAACGACCGTGGTGGTTCGCTAACTCTGCGCACCCTCAAAGACTGGCGTCTGTTTTTTTGGCATGTCAGAGTTTGAAGATTGGAGAATCAATGTTAGGAGTGAATAGCCTGAAGTCGTAGACTTGTGCGCAAATCTGTGCTTATTATCGAGTAATCTGGTTGCCTTGCAATGATTTTAGATTTTTCTGTCCTTGAGAATACTCGTCTTTGTTGGCATTTTTCTAAAACTTTTACAACGTTTATTCAGTTGAAGCCTCCAGGTACGAAACGAATGCCACCGAGCTGAGCGGATTAACTGTCTTCGAAGAATTTTACAACGGCGTCAGGCCTTCGATTGAGAGCGGCAACATCGCGGGGCTGTGCAATCTGAAGCAGCACATCACCGCCAACGAGCCGCAGCACAGCGTCCTCCGCAAATACTTCAACAGCCCGACGATCGAGGCGGTGTTGATCTTTTCTTAGGATTGTCGTCGGTAGAAGTAGGTAGATGCGTTGGAGTCGAGTCGTGGAGCAGACTGCTAGTATGTTTGTCGGTAGTCTTCGCGCTGTTATCTTAAGGCCACTAGACGTTCGTAGACGTTTCTGCTCATGGTTCTGAGATCTCCGCTGGCCTATCTCATTCCTCCCAAATCTCCTACAGCTGATCGACGCTGCGGCTACGGACCAAAACCAGAACAAGTTGATGCATATGGTGGCTGATCCGTCCAACAATTCTGCGACGTTTGGTGGTCTGACGTCCGAACAGGCGAAGAGCGGCACGACTGCCGGAGGCTGGGAGTTCTTCATCAGGATCCTCCTCATGGGACTGGCTGCGGGCCTGCTTGGTGGCAATCTCGACCGCAATCCGTGGCAGCTGGTGCGCATAGCTTTGATATATTTGGTTTTCTACAACTAGATGATGTCGCGAGTGGGTTCTTGTCTTTTCAGAGTGTTTCTGAAGTCTCTACAAACTTTTCGGTGCTTCTTTCTTGTTCCTTGTCTCCTTTGCATATCGTCGCAACCTCTTCACTCTTCCACAGGTGGACACTAGTGCGCAGCTCTGGTTTCAGGCGGAGAGCGGTCCCGCCGTCGGACTTGCTAAAAAGTTGCTAAATTTGTGGCTTTTTTCGTTTTCGGCGCTTGTGTCTGCGTGTGGCGTTGCGCTCTCTGCCCTCGTGGTCAGGTGGGTCCGCTTGTTTTTGCGCATTCGCGCGGATGGTGTGCCGTCTGCGGGGTGTGTTGCAGGTGTGATGCCCATGCAGATTTTCGGGGGGTTTTGATCGTGTTGCCTCCGTGGTCTGTTGTGCTACTTTCATAGCGCTGGGTGTGCTCGGGTGGGTCGCTCGCGATAGTGTCGCAGGTGGTGCCGTGCGCAGCGGCGCTTCCCCTGCTTGTGTTCTTGCTGGTCTCGTGATTGGCGCTTTTTGTGTTCTGGAGTTATTTTTTCTTGAAGGGAGGGGTCCCCCAAGACCGAAAAATGCCAAAAGTTAGCCTTTTCTCTTCTGAGACTGAAGTTGAGGGGTGACGAAATTACATCACTACTTATCACCCCCCATGTCAGCGCTGTCGGTCCTTGCTTTATCTAGCTCCGTAGTGTAGTTGATTACTTTCCGAAGAGTGCAGCGGTTGGCCTTGCCGCTTTGTGGTTTAGACCTCGGCGTCGAGATTTATCGCGACGTCGTGACGTTGCCGCGATCGACAAGACGAAGCCGCGGCAGGTGCATGAAGTTCTTCATCAAGGCGCTGGGCCACTTGATGCAGGACGATACGGCCACGCCAAGCGGGTGGCATCTAGTTCAAGCGAGGAGAAGTTGGGGCTGGGATTCGAGATCGCGTGGAGGCGCTTGAAGCCTGCGCTTCAGGCGTGTGAAGATAACGCCATAAAGCGGCGGCTAAAGGGCGTCCCCCCTAATCGTGGTCTTACGGAGCATGTCGAGTCTGATGCTACTCCGCTTTCAGTAGTGGCGCAGGCGGGTTGGATCACGTTCGAGGCGTTGCCCATCTTGCAGTGTTTTGTGGCACCTGATGACAGTGGTGCTGACCTACTAGCGCAATTGGCCATAGCTGGGAGGGCCAAAGAACTACTGCAGGCGCGTATGTGGCGAACGTTGGACACGATCAACATGTGGGAGGGCCACACAGGCGCTCGCATGTGTGCCGAGTTGGCCTGGCTACCAACTGCGCGGAGTTTTGTGCTCGGTGGTGCGATTGAAGACGCGTCTGCGCTGCGGTTCACCCTCCATCATTACGGAGGAGATGGAGGAAGTAGCGGCGTTTTGACGCATTACTGTGGGCTTCGTCATGTTGTGACTGAAGCGGACGCCGGCAGCCTTTCGCATCTGAGGCAACTGATGAGTTTATGGGTTTGAGATGAATGCCTTGGCCATAATCTACATGGGTCGATAGAGGTCGCCTGCAAGTTGTGGCGTCCGCACAAAGACGACCAGGAGAGTGCGAAGGTGATTGCGAAGGCCTTCCGCAAAAGTACGCAGGCCCTACGGGAGGCGGCCGCCGACTGGTTGGCGGGGTCGTATGTCTGTCAGCCTTTGGCGCCGCATGAAGTAGATGGATACAGTATGATCCTGGTGCACTTGCTTCTCGCGGACGGCGAGGGTGACTCTTCTGATTTGGTGGACAAGATGTTGGCCCTGCAGCTTCGTGCGGATGGGGATTTGCTCTATGGCGCTGTTGGGTATGACCGAGAGCATGAAGTCCGGGACTTGGTGCTCAGATTAGACTTCAAAGGAATCCAATTTGGACGCTTTGGGAACGCAATAGAAGCACTACGACGCGCTTCAGCAGCACTTCTGGTCGGCTTGTGGTCGCTTGGGAATTTTGTAGTGAAGAAGAGAACTCGGCGCGGCTTGTTGCAGCAGGCCTTTCAGAACAACATGGCAGCGGAACAGTTTCGTCATGTGGCTTTTGTTTTGGTGGTGCGCTTTTCGGTGGGCCTTTTGAGAGGGCGGAGCGTTCCTTGCTGGGCAATGACTGCGTGCAGCGGATCCCAGAACTGCGCAGCAAGCTTGAGGTCGCTGCTTCTGCGCTACGTTTCCTCCCATGGGAGGAGATTTTGCCTTTCGCTGGTCTTTCGTCTGATATCCAGAAGCAGCTGCGGGAGGGGATTGGGCGTGCTGTAGACCTTGCAGCTGCTGACGCGATTTTGTATGGGTTTTCGCGCATCAAGTGTCCTACTTACTCCTTGATGAATATTGGCGAGCCTTTCAGCGTCTCCATCTTCTTGCAGAAAGTGCGGGACTGTCCCGAGAAGGACGCTGACCCCGGACTAACAGGAAAACTCAAGACTTTGATGCAGACCATGCCCTACATCATCAACAACTTCGTGGCA